ATGTAGAAATTGTTAACAGGAAAAAAATAATAAGGTGATAACAATCAGACAAATGTTGTTGTGAAAGTTTAAACATTGGTCGGAGTTCTGTTTGTATCCTTCATCAGAGGCAGCTCTTCTGTATCTACCTCAGTATTTTCAGTGGTTGAAGAAGTATTCAGATCCTTTATGAAAGTCAAATTACGTATAGCATACTGTAAAAATACACCCCGACGAATAAAAGTCCAGCATTAAAAATGTTACCCAAATCAAAGTACGTATAATCAGCTAATTGTAATATTACATGTAAAAGTATATTAAAAATAATAGATTTAAAAATTAAAGTTATTCAAAATAAATGTACAAAAGGACCAATGAACTTTCTGTCAATCAGCTTGTTGATTCATCAATTTGAGCTGTTTTTGTATAAATTGATGGCTAGTTGAATTTCAACAAATCATCAGATTGTGTTTTTTAATGCAAAAACCCTTAAATTAAAGTAACTAGAATGTAAAGTTCGAAGGTAAACCAAGGGAGGTCAAAGTACATCATTCTCTTTGTATTTTAGTGGAAAATATTAAAATGGCATACAAGAACCTAAGTACAAACCTTGAGTAAATGTACTAAGTTTAAGCCAACCAATGATTATTTAAGTGAAAACTTACACTCACTGGGCATTTTTCATGTATTATTCATCTTTCAGCTGAAAATAATAACTTATTTGTTCTTTCATTCATTCCTTCCTCTATTTACCTCTGACAGAATAGCCAGGATGTTTTTCAGGTCCCGTGGGTATTGTGCCCTGCGGACGGGGTTGCACTCTGAGCTCATGCCCACCAGATAGCGTGGCAGGATGGTGGAGAAGAAATCCGACTCTTTGATGATGCCAGCCAGGTGCTGCAGAGTGCCTCTCTCCGCTCGGGATTCAAAGGCTTTACTCAGCACCAGGCAGAGGAGTCCAACAAGGTCATTTCTCATTGCTGTCCCACTCAGGAGTTCTCGCAGGACAGGTTTAGAAGACAGGGTGATCGCTACTACAGAGGGATCTTTTTCGGAGAGCTCTTCCAGTGTTTTATAGCCCAGTCCATGACCATGGTGTGCCCCAACTCTACCTGTGGATTTCGATCTCACTCCATTATGTTCTTGTCGGCCTCTCGCGCCATCTCTTCTCTCACCCCTTCTACCATCCACACTATGGCCTTCTCTCCTTACACCAACTTCTGACTCCCACCCTGAAGGTCCTTCTCTTTCAGCGGCACCGAGCTCTCCATTTCTTATTACCCCACTCTCTGGCCCTTCTCCTTTGTCTCCTCCTCTCCCCCTCCCTCCTACTTTTGGTCTAGCACCCAAATCTTTTTTCTCCCATCTCAATGCATATGTTGCTCCTCTTCCTCTGCCTGCGTCTCCTCTTCCTCTGCCTGCGTCTCCTCTTCCTCTGCCTGCCTCTCCTCTTCTTCTGCCTGCGTCTCCTCTTCCTCTGCCTGCATCTGCTGCTCCTCCTATTCCTCTGCCTGAGTCTGCTGCTCTTCCTCTCCAGCGCATCCCTCCTCCTCCTCCTCCTCCTTCATCATCCGTGTCCTCCCTTACAGGTTGACCACTACCATGGTTTAGCGATCTTCCACGTCTTCTTCTATTTCTGACTCCATGTGCACTTTTGTTTGGGCCAGTATCAGCATCTGGGGGAAGAAAAGTCACTCATATGATGAGACCTTAAAGATGAACACCTAGATTGCTGAATGGGTTTTACCTGATTGCCTATGCTACTGTATATTTACCATTGTTTAGTCCTGTTGTCTCTTTTATTAAGGTCGGTCCTTCCATGGCCTTGCATACGATACTAGCTGAAATATGTGGGCAACAATTTACAAGTCGTAAGAAATTTGAGAATTAAATTAACAACACATTTTAGGATGATCACACATTTTAATAAAGGATGTGTAATTTATGTAAAATCATTTTTGAAAGAAGTATTCAGGTCTGGTAACATACTCTGTTACATTTGTTTTGCTTAAATTAAGGTACATACGTTAAGTATTAGCTTAAGCTATAACAATAATACTTTATTCGCAATTAGTTTATAATTTATGGATTATATTTCGTATCTATGATCCAAATCATTAACCAGTAACTAAAAGTATTCAATAAATGTAGCTTGATAAAAGGTAAAATACTTGCATCCAACATATGGTGAAGTCAAAATAAAAACAGAAATGCCCTAATAAAGTAAAATGACATAGCACTTTGTGTATCATAGTCCAATAAAAACAGCTCCAATGTACATGTATAAAATAACACTGAATGATGATTCACTGTGTTCTATTACTGTGAACAATTAGTATCATTATGATTTACAAGGTCATGGGATTGCAACATGTTTATTTGAAAATAATCCTTTATCATAATAATTTTGAGAGGGGAATTTGCTTGCTATTGCATTGACCTAACTCAAAGAAAGAGAGTGCCCTCTGCTGGATACAGTAAGGACCTGCACAAATGTGTGTAAGTTTCTATTTACCAGAAATCGGATGAGAGCTTGTAAAACATAACTTGTATCCTGTCATTGTTCTGATATCGAATTCAGTTTTAGGATTTCATTAAGATCCCCATTAGCTAATGCACAACACCAGCTACTCTTTCTACAGAAAAAAACATGACACTGGCAACAACTAAATAATATTAAAAATACAAAATACAATACTTTCCAATAAACATACTACACATGTTATTATTAATCATATCCACTTGTTAAACATACACACATATACATACAAACACGTATACATTCATACATACATACAATTCGTTGACACTAAATGTAAAGTGAGATTTTACAAAAGTACATGATGCGGAAATGCCTTACAAATTACAACAAGACAGCAAATGGGCAACGCCTTCAATTTGTTGTATATCATTTGTTATAGGCCTACCTTCGTTTACATTTTATATATGCTACGGAATGAGACATTTCTGATCATTTTTGCTTCCTTTCACCCCTTACAGAGAGAAAACACTTACCTAGACTGAAATCCACTTGCCACAATGCCACTGAGCTTTACAAAGGAAGCAGGTCCATTTGCTAGCATCACTGCACCTAGCCTTCTCAGTCAGTCGTCGTGTATTAGCTGTGCCTTCCGCTCACTGCTCTATTTATATGCGTTGTCACACTTGTGCTTTCGTTTCATCAGAACTACGCACCTAGAGGTTCATTTGCATCATGAAACTTAACTCTGCACAGTGCACACACTATGTTAACACGGCAACATGCAATACTGTCCGCTATCTTTTGTATATCATCATCAGTCGACAGTGCCACGTGGGGCAGGATATTTCCCAGAAGCATTTCCTCGTTAATTAAACGTGTTATCGAGTGTAGTTCAGGGCCTTACTGTTTCTGTCATGTTGACGGCCGATAGAGTATTGTGAGAGCATATGCTACTTCAGGTTACCTTGCAGTATGCACCACTGAAACTTGACTTATAGGCTAGCAGCGTTACCTGAAAAAATATGATGTGATGCTTACCACCAAATGTAGGGATAGCCTATTGGATTATATTATGAATACATAGCCCAATAGGCTACTCTCAAACAAAAGACACAATTACGGGTGTTAGCCTTGTGTTTTATGTAAAAAGTACAACAGCTTTAACAAGAACAAAACACTTCATATTACTAGGACCCAAATCCCATCCACCCACTCCTTTCAGGAATTATTTCTTTGATGTCACTTTCTGTGGCCTTAAAACCCATATTTTTTACAGCAGAGCTAAAAAGAAGAAACACATGTTCGAGGAGCACTTGAATATAGCATTAATGCCAGCTAAATCAAATTCAACATCATAATCACATGTCTGGCTTTAAATTGACACTGGAACAATAAAGAAACATTGGTGCTAAAATTAACCACATATCTACAGGACTAATCTGCTATACCAGCGAACTAGTGAGCTTTATTTATTTGAGTGTTTCTCAAAACCCACCTGAAACTGACATCACCTTTTGAGCACACGTTGAAGGTCAAAGTGTTGGTTCACAAGGACAGTTCAATGTACAACCTCAGGTCAGAATACAGTGCAATTTATGCCACTGACTGGAATGAAGTCCAGTAGGTCCAATTAGATAGGAGACAAATCAAATAAAGGTAAACCAATCAGTAATTGAAAGATAAATCAATCAACTATAAACGTTCTTATGTGTCTATCAACAAATCAAATGATTTCCTGATTAGAATCATTCGTTATAAATGTAGTTATAGTTTTTTATATAATTGTTGATGTGTAATCATTTAATTTTGTAAATTGTTATTATTATTGCTATTATTGTTGTTGTTGTTGTTGTTGTTATTATTATTATTATTATACAGTCTGGAAGGTAGCATCTCCTCCTTTTGTATTTTTGTATTGTATTCATCTGTTCAATTATCATACATGAACATCATACATTTGACATACAACAGACAAAGTCCAGGGGCAGACATACAAAGCAACAAGACATTATACAGTAAATAAAGAAAAAAGAAAAGACAAAAATACATTTTGATACTTCAGATTAAATATTAATATTCTTATTCCTAATGTTTTTAATAGTGATAGGCCTATATTTTTTACATTCTTGATGCACATTTTCAAAATGTGGTTTGGAGTCAGCCCATTTCTTTTTATGGATATGAAATTTCCCTAAAAATACAATTAACTACACAAAAAAGACCAAATCTGCGTCCATACCATCATCCCTGAAGTACAAGGTGTTTGTCCTGCAGTTTAACCTTTTGTCCCGTCTTTTTCCTAATAAAACATTATCATACCACAATATTCTACAATACAAACATTCATAAAATAAATGGCCAATAGTCCCTTATTGTAGATTACAAAGTGTACAGGAATATTCAATATCAAGTCCAAATCGTTGCAGTGTGTTTTTTGCGGGATATATTGTGTGTACATTGTCATTTTTAAAGTAAACCTCCTTAACTTTACTTTTGAGGTAGCATCTCCTCCTCGTCACGTCCCATCGTCTTGACGCTACGTCATCATTCAGGCTGAGTAGGGAGGCTAGCTAAAGCTGATGTATCCTATTGGTCGTTTCCGTCAATGTAAACATGCAGCAGTGTCAGCGGTGTAAACTGTATTGCTTAAGCGGCGTTTCCTTATTGTTTACAGCTTTATCTGAAGTCTGAATAATAATGGCAGTGTGGCTGAAAATAGCAGTCTCGGAACCAGGGCAGAGTAGTGTTAGCTTGATAACTAGCTAGCACTAAATAGCTTGCTAACTATCTGGTTGTGTTTGTATGAGGCTGGCCTTGCTAATTAGATAGCTAGCTTCCCATTGGTAGCCATGAAGGGCTAAATTCAGGTTAGAGAGGCAAAGATAGAAGGATGGCAAGTCATGTAATCTAACAAGGACTTATCGAGAAGTGGAGAAAATGAATAAATCCAGAAGGGACGGGGCTTCGTCACCTGCGAATGGAAGACAGGGCAATGGTAAGTCGCTAAGTTAACGTTAGCTTTCTTCATTCAGGGCAACCATATGTTGTGGGAATTCATATCGAAACTAGACTCTAGATACCTATTAATTAAAAGAACGTGATCACATGTGTCCCATGCTAGAGTTGGTTAAATGTCCCTCTTAACCTTACGTTAGCTGCATGTACAAGTAGCTTTAACGGTTTCAACATTACAGTGACGTTAAGCAAAGGCTAACTCTCTTTTTCCGTGTGTCAGACTGGGATACCAGACGGAAAAGGAAAATTGCGGACATCACACAGGCCCTCAGTGTGAGTCCAGTGGATGTTGCTGCTTTAAGAAGGATGGCTATCAGTGAAGGAGGACTGCTGACCGATGAGATCCGCTGTCAAGTCTGGCCTCGGCTTCTCAACGTCCCTCCTCATGTCTTGGAACAAGAGCCAGGTATCATGTTAGCAACATATCAACAAACAGAGCAATATCGGCTATGCCATCCCAAATGCCTTCCCTTTCTCACTTTGCATGAACTATGCATCCTAGGTGCAAAGTCTCCTTCATACGTATGGTAATGCTGATGGTGACATGTCTATTGTTTAAAACGTGTGTCACGATTGATACATTGTATTTTACTGCAAACGAAATATACCGACGAGTACAAATAAATAACCTGAACCTGAATATGTCTTGTCCAGAAAAGGTAGACCGGGAGGATAACAAGGACTACAACCAGGTGCTGTTGGATGTCCAGCGATCTCTGCGGAGGTTCCCACCTGGTCAGTAGAACACATACCTTCTCATACAAGTGGTTCATAAAGCCCTGCTAGTAATGTATTCCTACAGAAACTGAAATAGATCATCAAACACGATCAGGCTGTTCAACAGTACTGTTCAACAAATCTAACCATTCAAGTGAAGATGTTAAATATACTGTTAATTCCTTTACGATTTGAACCAGACAGAAAAATACATATTTGCTCAGGGGCTTGTTTTCATTTGGAACTTGTTGATAATTAGTGTTGTTACATTTACTTTAATACCAATCATCATACCATCCACTTGCCTTTGCAAATCTAAGTGTACTATCCTTCAGCACAGTTCAATTCCATGTCAAAGCTTTGCAAGTACTTGCCGTTAGTTTGACTTTTACTTGTACTTATCTTGGCAAAAAGACAGAATTCCAAAAGAGGGTGCAGACATTTGTTTTAAACTCAGCGCTACTGGAATTTCTGCTTGTCCATCTCACTAGTATTTCAACCATAGACATATAAATATTTCAACTAATCAAATCAAGATTTATCAATGTAGCACTCAGCTTCAAGGATCTCCACCCAAATGCTATTTTTGGTACAAAAGAAAGCTCTGATTTCAGTACATTTTAACCTGCCAGTGATCTGAGGCTTGTACTACGAAGCCGGATTTTCGCTTAGCGGGCTAACTTCAGGGAAAACTCTGGGTTTCCGGTCCTACGACGCTGGTTCTCTTTTTAGCGGGCTAGATCTCCATGGTAACTTATGCTGTGCGGCTCACCTGCCCCGGAGCAGGTTAGCTTGCAGGCTAAGAGCTCAACTCAGTGAAAGCACTGCCTGCTGACCAATCAGAGCTCCGTGTGCGGAGTTTAAAGCGATCAAGTCATATTACAGGAGAAAGGAAATACAAAAAAACTGCCGTTGCAGGAAAGACGGCCGGCAAAAATCACAGACTGTGTGAACGTGAACATTAATAGAATATCACCTCCCATCTTCAGAGCAATCGGACTATTATAACATTAGCGTTAAGAAAGCTTACTTACATATCTGCCACAACATAAGTAACCGGATCAGAGTAACATTAAGTACAGTCCGCGGCACTGTGAGTGCAGACGTCGATGTGTCCCATTATCATTCATATCACATCATACTGTATCATATATTTCCTTATCTGAGTCAGCTGAGCCGTATCTGTCCGTGCAACACTCACAGTGTCACTGTATGCAGAAGTATTATTTTAAGCAACACATTAAGTTGAAGAAACACTCGAGTCAAATGTAATTAAAGTCAGATCGTGTCTTAGACGGGGCAGGGATATCATAAACCTGTTAATGTACGCATTCAAACACTTTTTCTTTTACCAGCTGTATTCACCTTGCAGGTGCAACTATGTGGCTTTTTATCCTGGATAAAGTGTTTAAGTCATGGATGTTTAAAGTTTAACTTCTTCATATGTCTAATATTATAGTTGACTTTTCATTCAGGAAGTATGACGCTGCGCTTGTCCATGTTTGTGATTGGTCGAATGCTCCAAATACCACCCCTTTCATGTGAACGCTCACCTAACTAGATAGGTCACGGCTGGCTTGAGCGATCCACTTGATAACCCGCGTCGTAGGACCGCTTAGCGAGAGCACGCATGTTTTGGATTAGGCCAACCGGCTAACTCAAACATATCCAGGTTAGGTTGAACCGGCTTCGTCGTACAGGCCTCAGGTGGAAGTCAAAGAGTTCAGACTTTAAACATTGAATTGAAGAATCAGTCATTGCTAGTTTTGGAGGAAAAAACCTCAGCGCTAATATAGTGTACTGTTATTTTCAATAGTGTCCTATAAATATAAAAAGGATCCATAGTACTTAAAGCAATTGAACCAATTAGGTTTTATTTTTAATTGATGGAAGTTGAGGATTTGTTTGTTTGTTTATTCTTCATGTTTCTGGCAGGTTGGACTAGTAGGTACAATTATAATTCATGTTGCGATTCATGCTCATTAGATTGCATTATCTCCTATTTTAAAGCAGGGTAGAATAAAATAAGCACCTTTTCTACATTGGTTAAATACACACCCAGACTATGTTAGCATTAACAACTTTAATCTATTTTGGGTGGCCTTGTACAGGTATGCCAGACGAACAGAGAGAGGGTCTCCAAGAAGAACTAATAGACATCATCCTCGTAGTTCTGAAACGCAATCCCCAGCTGCACTACTACCAAGGGTACCATGACATCGTTGTCACCTTCCTATTGGTCCTTGGAGAGCGCCTTGCAACTGCTCTTGTGGAAAAGCTCTCCACCCATCACCTCAGGTGCATACCAAATACGTCATCTTCAGCATCTTTGTACTCTACTACCTATTTTCTCAGTTTAGCTTTCTCTGTTATGTTTTCTCTTATTCCTCCTTTTACAACAATAGTCCAATTGTGTTCTCTAAAAAGGCTCTTTGTTGTATGCTTTTTTTCAGGGACTTCATGGATCCTACCATGGACAACACAAAACACATTCTTAACTATTTGATGCCCATCATTGAAAGAGTCAACCCTGAGGTGCATGACTTCATGCAGCAGTAAGTCTCTCTGTTGTTTTAGTGATAACAGACCAAAGCAAATGATTCTCTCATAAGAGATTACTTCGAGGGCTTGAAACTTTGCAAAATAAGAAATCGATACCCACTTCATTTCAGAAACAGAATCAAATTTATTGCCAGGTACATTTACAAGTTATCTGGTGAATTCCTTGTATGTGTAAACGTACGTGGCAATACATTTGATTCTGATACTGTTTGTGCCATATAAACACAATTCACAAGTTACCTCAGTGGGGGAAACTTCTGTAGCAATGGAGAGCCAGGACTCAGAGAGACACGAGGAGAGTTGGAGCTTTGATGAAGAACTCTTTCTGTAGCTCGAGGTTTTAACTAGTTCGGAGTGTAATAATCAACATTCCTCATCAGTGAGAATAAACAATTATGGACCCTGAATCTAACTAGAGCTCTCGTCCATAGAAAGGAATGCGCGCCAGGGAACCTTCGTCCCTGAACAGTAAACTACCTCATGGCGGCTTGTGCTCTGTCACAGACTGGCAACAACAATGCGCCCAAGCTGCCCCTCCTTAAAAGAGATAGCAGCAATACCCAAGGCCGTAGACCTATGCCATGGGAAAGGAGACAGTGAGAGGAGAAAGTTATGAACTGTGTCGAAGGTTGAATACCTAAGCAAATTATTCCCTAACAACCTCAGTTTTAATCTAGGCAGAATGATAAGAATATTTGAACGTTTCATACCCTACACATCTTTCCCTGTGGTTGTGTAATGGGATACATTTATATCTGCTCTACATGTTTCCCACCGGTGTCTGCTGTCCTGATTGAATATATTTAGTTTCAAAAGCTTGTTCATTTAGTTGTCAAGGCAGTTTGTTCTATATTAATCCTGCCATGACAAGAGGGTAGCAGGAGGGTCACAGTATCTAGGCTGGTAGTTAATGTGAATTGTGCATGCAGCTTTGTGACACACCTTTTTAGAGATATCTTCTTCCAAGTATTATAAAACAACAATGATTTAATCTCAAATCATATGGTGGTGATGTAAGAGAAGGAGAAGTATGACGGTGCATTTAACACATACTGATCCTATTATGACAGCTCCAGTTACGTCTGTAAAGACTTAGAAACACAGGTTAAGTGGGGGGCACTTAGAGGGCTAACATGACTAGCTTTCTGTGTCCGCCACTTCCAGAAAGCACAATTTTTAAAACAATTATAACACACCTTAAAGTTATATTGCCTGATTGCGTGTTGATCGCTGGCATGTATTGATTGATTCTCAGGGCTGAGGTGGGGACAGTCTTCGCTCTCAGTTGGCTCATCACCTGGTTCGGCCACGTGCTTTCAGACTTCCGCCATGTTGTCCGGTTGTATGACTTCTTCCTGGCCTGCCACCCATTGATGCCCATATACTTTGCTGCTGTGGTGAGTTAAATCCGCCCCTTTACACCATTAAAAGCTCTATAGTTTACAGTGCAATACAAGCTAATACAACTATTGGTAAGAACATTCATATGAGCTACATAATGTTGTGTGTGAGTCCAAGACCAAAACTTAGACTTTGGGGAGGTTTTCTTTTATCTGCAACTTTGCATTCCTCCCAAGGAGGGTCCTCCGTGACCTTCACACATTAAACACCTTAGGCTCATCTCAATTGAATATTTCACCTCCTCCTTTCCCTCACTCGCGTCTTGCGGAGGCGGAGCTAAGACGCAAGGAAGGGACGCGAGTGAGGGAAAGGAGGAGGTGACAGAGGAGTCCTCACGTAGTAATTGGGATGTCCTCGTTTACTCCAGCGTCTCCATAAACAACGCCCTTTACTTCTGGTGCGTGCAGTTTTATAACCTGTCACTGGACTTGCCTGGGATTTAGTTTCTCATTGAAATGATTTCGTCCATCTCTTCCATTCATCTTTTGTTATAGTTTTCTATGTATTATTTTCGGTCCTGCATTTGTTTTTCCAGGTATAACATTTCATCTAAGTTATAATCATAACAATAATAATCATTGATGGATTAATTTCATTATGGTATTTGAGCTTGTTTCAGATCAACTTTTGTATTGGATGTTGTTATTCAATTTGTCCTACAGAAGAGAGACACACATCACTAAAATATGTATTAGTTATGCTACCTGTATTTGTATACATCCTAAATGTCTGACGTTCTGTGGGTCTGCCACACATGCATCAAAAACCACAAGTAAGAACTGTAGGCTAAGTTATTATTTTATAATCAAAACATTATTATTTGTAAGTTTATTTCACACACTTTAATGTTTTTATAGAGTATGATCTCCTCATTCGTTTAAGAGATTTAATATGTTTTACTGAAGCACTTTAAACATTTAATGACTCTGATCCTCTAACGGTAAGATCAGCTGCAGTGAGCAGAGGCAGCTGTGGGCGGAGCTCTGATGCGCGAGTAGTGAAAACACTTCCGCGTAGTCTGCTCTCGTGTATCCTCCCTCTCGTCTCCTCTGGAAGCCTCCTCCCTCACCCCTCCTCGACTCCTCCGTGTGCATTTCAGCGATTCGGACGTCCTTCAAAATGGCTTGTCCTGATCGATTTCCGAGTCAAGTCCCGAAGGAGGGGGAGAGAGGAGTCGAGGAGGGAAATTGAGATGAACCTCTTGTGTGAGGAGGCTCTGGGTATCCGGGGAACACAGATAACGGCTTGAGCATGATATAGTTATTGGACCCCAAGAATGGGACCTGGCCATGGCCGGCAAGATATGGACACATTGTTGACCTCTCCCTATGGTGTGGTTTTAAGACTTTGGGTAACTTATCAATTCAAAATAATGTATTAATACTTTGTAATGCACATAAGCTATATCATGACCATCTCTGACATTACATATTTGTAGATTAAATGTAATTATTCAGGTAAGGACAGCTCATTGTGTTCATTCTTATATTTGTCTGTGAAAATGTGCACGTTTTCTTCATCGTGGATAATTGCCTGTTCTCTGTGATATTGGTTGCAGATCGTACTGTACAGGGAAGAGGAGGTTTTTGAGTGTGAATGCGATATGGCCATGGTTCATCACCTGCTCTCTCAGATTCCCCAGGATCTGCCATATGAGACCCTCATCAGCCGAGCAGGAGACCTCTTTGTCCAGTTCCCTCCCTCTGAAATGGCCAGAGAGGCCGCCTCGCATGACAGGTACTAAACTCCTGAGGGATTCCAGCTTGCATTTTCAGATGCTACCTTTAATTTCTCTGCTACTACATTCACACTTTGAAACATGAATGTTACTATTTATAATAACAATCACTTTCTTCCACTTCTTCACTTGGTTGCTCACTGTTCCCTCATTAACGCTTTTATTTGATCTCTCTCTCACTCCCTCTTTGTGCCGTCTCTTTTCCTCCTAAGCATGGCAGCCTCTACCTTTAAGGACTTTGACCTTGCGTCAACTCAGCAGCGGCCAGACTCTGTTCTCCGGCGCCGGCGCAAACAGAAACAGGCTGCCCTGGAGAGATCAGCTGCGAACGCTGTAGTGACGGTGGCACAACCTTCAGCTGCACGCCGCTTTGTTCGCCTGGCTGTCATGGGTCTGACGGTGGCTTTAGGGGCTGCAGCCCTCGCCGTGGTCAACAGCGCCCTGCAGTGGGCCCCCAAACTGGACTTGTTTCCTTGAGCTGCTCCTCTTTCGACTCCTACGCTCCAACATACCGGTCCTTGACTGACTCCAGCTGGTGGGTCTGTTCCCAATAAACTTGAATGAATGAAAGCAGGAACAATACAGTCAATAACACTGTCTGGAGCGTCTTACGCTACTGTTATCTGCTAGGATGTGTCTTCACATCCTATGCAGGACTTCTAAGGCTCCATCTGAAGGTCCTTTTTATGACTCCTGAAGATCACGCACCAGTATTATTGCTGGTGTTATCAAATGAAGCATTCATCCTGCTATAATGAAGAGACTCTTTTTCTAAGAACTATTACTGATAGTGTCATTATTAAAGTATATTTATATTTGGTAATAGGATAATCTGCTATTGAGTTCTAATCACAGAGATATATGCTGAAATATTGTTGGACTCGCTACACTTGAAACTGCTGCCAATTAATTGTGTGTGTGTGTGTGTGTGTGTGTGTGTGTGTGTGTGTGTGTGTGTGTGTGTGTGTGTGTGTGTGTGTGTGTGTGTGTGTGTGTGTGTGTGTGTGTGTGTGTGTGTGTGTGTGTGTGTGTGTGTGTGTGTGTGTGTGTGTACTGGACTGAGACCAAATAGAGGATTGATAGAATCCTTATAATGTACTGTTTCTTAATCTATAGCAGTTGTATAAAGTCATGACAAACAGGCACTTTTTAAGTTCACTTTTTTTATTATGTTTCAGGCATGTTTGTTCCCTTCAAAGTTGTCCAAATAATAATTTGTACTCAATGAAACCTATCAACAATACCCATTATCAGTTTTTATCAAAGTAGATATATATACTAGATATAGTATTGCAGCCTACTTTAGATGCACATTTGAATCTTAAAATACAGATGATTATGCCCCAAAATGGATTTCCGCTTCACATCCATGAAGAAAAAAATCAACCATATAGAAATTGTTATGGTAGAGCTTTCCCATTATTGACTCACTTAATTGTTTGGTTGTATACCGTTATATGCTTGCTTCACTTAGATCTCTCCTTATAGTTCAGCAATAGACTCTTTCAAATATTGGCATCAGATCTGGAATAAACAGCGAGTACAATGAGAAAAGTAACAAGTTAACAAGGACTGCATTATTTTTACAAAATCACTTTAAAAGGTTTCATAGGTGCTTTTCTTACTACAACTTTAAGGGTGTTCAAGTCAGGGGGAAAAAAGCACCTCAGCCTTCGAAGGAGCGCTGTCCAAGTTCTTTTTGTTTTTAATGTGAATTTAGCTTTAACACATGCCATTTGGTAAGTTGTATTGCTTGAGTGTGGCATTCACATTTCAGAGGCAGTCCAGCTCATTCTAATGCTCCAATCATTTCATCCGATCACATAATGAAGTAAGGTGGGTTGTTTAGGTTTCAGTAGTGTGGTACTCAGCTCAATAGTTAAGAATATCAGAAAAATACATAGCAAATATTTAGTCAGAGCATTTCAATTTAAAATAGAGAATTGGGGCTAGTTATTGACTTGGTTCTAGGTCACCTATATTATATGGCACCATAACCAGTCATCTAAAAGTGTCTCATCTCATTAAATTAACATGTTGAGGAAAGTTGCATCTGCTTTATTAGGCACTGAATTCCCAAGCATCCCATTCCTGTGTTGTGGTCTACTGCTTTGGGTACATCAGTGATTCAGCGAGCAGGGGATTTAAAATGAAGGTGACCTGGAACATGTCCCTGAGGTGCCTGAGAGCGTAGTCATTCAGCAGCATTGTAATGCACCATGTATCTGCACTCAGTGGTTTTTATTTACTGTCATTGCACTCATTGATTGATCTGCCTTTTATGTTTATTTTGTTATAATAAATACTAATGTATAGTTGTACAAGAAAATGCTAATAAACTATATTGAAAATGTTCACTCGCTTGGACTCACACATGATAACATACGTATTGTGACTGGTATTAACATTCGCACTAAAGAGATTACAGCCAAATACCATTATTGAGCCTTTAAATAAGTCACGACAACCGTTAATTGGATTTGTAACCAGACATTACTTTATTTAATATTTTCCTCAAAACCTGTTTTTAATAGACACATTGGTCATTTTGTGACATTTCATACTCAGCGTGTTCGCTAAAGGCTCATCACTACATTGGAATGAGTTACTTAGTCACTTACCATCTTCAGCTGTGTCTGCACATTTCATTGTTACAATAATGCTAACATGCTATGCTTTTGTTGGCAGTTTAATGGAGAGACAATCAACACACTCCATGGATACAAGACATTCCCAAAATATATTGTATATGTAATAGCCCATTTGGTACTGTACTTATTGAGGGATGAACACTTTCAGTTAAAGTCCTAAAAGCATCACAGCATCATTATGTGTCCAGCTCCCCTTATTTCAAACTGATACTTAATTCAAGTCCTTCCATTCAACGTAAACAACATCCTTCACCACAGTCTAATTAGGTAACTCAAAGAAAATGGCTTTCTTTTACAGAACTGAAAACAAATAAACGTTGTCACTTATTAAGCAAAAGCAGCAAACATACATTCACATAGGAAGACATCACTTTGGTATCCAGCAATTGTTCTTTTGTCTGTAGTCCTGGATAAGAGTTGATCATGATTAATGAATTAATGCTATTGTTAGTTGTAACTGTAGTACACACAGGAAAAAAACAATGGGATTTTATTATTTGTGGAGTTATTATCTTTTTGGTAACTTCTGTTTATACTTTTTTAGTATAATCCTATCAGAGTTCTTAATTAAACCAGAGTAAATGCACAATGATTGCTGGCTCATCAATATGAATTGTAAAGAAACTAATAGCCAGAGGTCAAAATGTAAATAGCGGATTCATTTATCATGACAAAATATTCTGAATAGAGCAGAAAATCCCTTTAAAGCTTATTGAGGAGATGTAGGAGATATCGTTTGTATAGCTTGTGTCTATGTGGCAAGATGTATTTTAAGAGTGTTTGTTAGTCTCCTTCCCTCAGTGGCAGTTTTGGCAGTTGGGATGGCACGGCTGCCGATTGCCTCGGCATCCACAGCCTCCAGATATGTCGCCATTTCCCTGTAAAATACAACCAAATAAGAAATCATGTGTATAGCTTAAACACTTTCCTGAAAACTGAACCAATACTGTGAAAAAGAGTTTTGCATGTAAGAGAATTTTATTTTACATTTGGTCCCCAGCGAGCTTGTTTGGTGACCCAGCAGATTTCTGTCTTGCACATCAAACAGCAGATCCAGTCACAGCCATCTTTCTTCTGGACGATGATGTCACACCGTGGACACTTCATGGCCTCCCCATTCTGTAGAAGGCTCTATATTGAAATACAATAGTGTTATGTAAATATTAAAGCAGCCGCAGGGAGAAATGTGCAAATACAACTCATAAGTACAAAAAGCTACTCAAGATGATTGAAGGTAATTATTAAAATGTACAAAAAACAGCAGCATTAAACATCTACATACTAGAGGTCAAACTCATAACTCAAAACATAAATAAATACGCTGATCTTAGATTAAACCTGTGGCTATAATAACCATTAAACAATTACAAAATGGATATTTAAATATAGGTTTAAAGTCCAGATGAGAGCCAGAAGTTATAAAAAATAACAATACCTCTAATTTGGCAGGAATGGAGCATTTTACTTTATATAAAGTGCAGACAGTACAACATTCCTATATTCATAATTTATCATAAAATATGTACATTAGTGAAGAATAAATCATTTAGCACTAAGATTGTTACATTGTCTGGTTACCATTGTTTTAGTTGATCCCTACAGGATGTAAGAAATCTACATTTGAGGCGTCTTACAACTTTAAAAACATTGACCTACATCTAGCATCTGCTTAGTTTTCATAGCCGCCTCGTCGTTCTCCGCTCGTATACGCAGGTCATCCTGGTAGTCCTTGCAATTCATGCCTTCATGGATGGCCTGCAAACATACACTCACCATTGTTAATGTTCAGTGCTTATACATTACATTACATGTTAGTCGCTTTTATTCAAAGCGACTTACATACTCAATACGGCAATCCCCACAGGAGCAATTTGGGGTGAAGTGTCTTGCCCAGGGACACAACGACTGCAGCGGGGTTTGAACCTGTGCTCCCCTGATCCCAACACCAACGTACTAGTACACTGCGTCACATCCTAGTTACACTTTGTCACATCCTAGTTATACTATAACTAGTGTGAAACACGTGTCAAAGTACTATAGTAAATATCCGACAATTACCCTGCAGAGGATGCAGTTGGTTTCTTCGCAGAGCTCGCAGAGGAACTCGTTGACTTCGTCCTCGTAGATGCACCACCCCCGACAGTTAGGAGTCTGACAGTGGAAGCTGTGCTCGGAGCGGCTCTCTGCGATGCTCAGACGCATCTCCAGAAACCGCTGGTGCTCCTCTTCTGTGAGCAGCTGTATAATGTTACAGCGAGAGAAAGACGGAGAGTAAGAGTGTGCATAATGTAAGGCTGTTATCTTCATGGAAAGGAAATATAGAACTTGTTATCTGCCGCCAGTTAGAAGCCCTTGAGATGAAATCATTAGAAGAAGATATGTTTTTCTTTCCTCTTTTAATCAGTCTGACCAATCAGTGCAGACAGAAACACAGATTGAAATGTCATATTTCAATCAGGTTACATTGTGATAGATCATTGAAATAGAAATCTGTTCACATCTTTAACAACTAACTGTTTGAATAATTATTATTATTTGATGCATGCTATTATTTCCTGTTTACTTTTGCATGAGACTGATGTTTTAGATTTTGGACTGTTTGTCCATTTAAACATTATTTTATCTCCAGTCTCCCACTCACCGCTTGTATCTCTCTGTCCAGCAGCTTGCTGTCACAGTTCTCAGGACAGGACACCTCCGCATCTCGATTGTTCACTATAGTCCCTTTGAGACACTCCCTAAACAAAGACATGAGAAAAATACTAATAAATAAATGCTTTAAATACACATTTTTGTACATTATTGTCAATGTGGTCATTGTACTTTTGGAAAGCAGATACATATCTTACTTTTACACTGAATATCAAAGCTACACAATAATTAAGAGTGTCAGACCTGCAGAAGACGTGGAGACACTCTCTGAGCACGATGCCCTCTTGTGGCTGCAGGGGAGAGAAGCAGATGGGACACTCTTCCTCTGAGGCGTTGGGGAAAAGGCTTTGGTCATCTGTTGCCAACAAGTTCCGGTAGTTCCTCTCACGTTCCTCCTGCTGAGCCTTCGTCACCAGGAAGAGAGAGAGTCAATCACAATACAGAGATGTACCACACATTGACATGACTCATTACAGTGACCCGTGATGCTGGAAAATAGAAAGTGAAACCACTAGGCTCATGAAAACAAACTCAATTCAACTAGTTTTCCTCAGCATCGCCACAGTTTATGGTGGTGTTATATTACAAAACGACATTTAGCTATGTAGCGTAATTAACTGCTTCTGCATTTCACATACCATAAAGAATGTTAGTTACAACTTTGTATTATCCTTTCCATACTTATAGCTGGTGTGCTCTTAAAACATAAAGACTAATAACATCACCACACATTCAGTTTCAGTTTGTACTCTCCAACATCAGTTCATTTTTGATGAATCGCAAAATTCTCTATGCACCCATTTGAAACTAAAATGTGTTAAAAATAAAACAAATGTAAAACATAATGAGATTGGATAGTTTCATAATTGGAACATTGACAACATTGCCAACATTGCCAAAGAACAACATTTAAATGTTAAAAAGAAGAGCTAATACGCTCCAAAGACATTTTCTTTTAGCATAAATGTAAAACCTTTTATTGATCATAAGGTCAGTGGCCTTTTTTTGTATAATCTAGTGCACAAAATACACCCGTCCTGTCCTGAAGTTTACTTTTGTGATGCCTTTGAGGTTCAGTTTTGTTTGACAAGGTGATAGGGCTATTTCATCAATGATATGTTCCAGCATTGAGGCCATAGCTGATGACAATGTCAAATGAAATGTATTATAATATTTTGCCCCTTGTGTATGTAAATAGGAAGGACAACTATGACCTCAATAATATACATTTGAAACAACACAAAGACAACTCCACTGTATGTTATTCAATATCTGACATCAGGGTTGCGTCAAATTTAGATGTAGAATTGACATCAGGCTTAAAACTTTTCAGGAATACATATTTTAAACCTTTTAAAGAGCACTGTTACCTGTTCATACTGCAATGTGGCCAACTGTTCCTGTTGAATCCGAAGAATCTCCTGCTGGTCTGGTTTGTAGATGTCAGGCACCTGGTAATCCTCGGGCCGGTCCCCTCCACACGCCTCGCAGCCAGGACGTGTAGGTTTGTTCAACAACGTACACATAGAGCAGGTCCAGCCCAACTACTCACAAACGCATAAATACAGTAAGTTTGTAAGTATATGTTGAAACAAGCTCAACCACACTAAAGACATGGTGTCCAACAGGAGTTGTATTCTGACCTGAGGTTTAGGAAGCACGTTGGGTTTAGCAGGAAGAGGAGGAGGAACTTGTTTATTGTCTGGAGCTGTCTTTTCAACACCACCTCCTCCCGTCCCTCTGGGAAAAAGTTGCATCACGATGCCTGAACATAGATGATTATTCCATAAAATGTAAATGTACCCAGTAAGTGGACCTTTTCATAAACCTGTAATCAAGCCTGAGTTGACCCTCAGTATATTTTCAGAAATGTGCATTGTTCGATTGGACAGTTTGTTTGCGTGGTTACTTTTCAACCAGGCAAAGTCTGATCAAACTACAAATAAAGTATGGCTAAAGTCAGAGGTTCCTAAAACGTTTAGGTCCAGGGATCCTTTACAGGGGAGAACATTTTCTAAGGACTCCTTCATAATTATAACCCCAATGAAGCATATCCTTACTAGTATTGGCACTCCTTGATCCCATTAAAACTAAATATTTAGCTAAAATAATTCAGAACTGTTCTATAATGATAAAGCAAAACAGATTTCCATTCAAATGTTATTAATAAAGCAAATAAAATGTACCAGAAACCCCCCTTTGTAAATCAATGTTGTGTGTGTGTGTGTGTGTGTGTGTGTGTGTGTGTGTGTGTGTGTGTGTGTGTGTGTGTGTGTGTGTGTGTGTGTGTGTGTGTGTGTGTGTGTGTGTGTGTGTGTGTGTGTGTGTGTGTGTGTGACTGACCATCCATGCGTTCTTGCTCCTGATCCAGCTTGTGCTGCTGCTGTGTGAGATGAGCAGCCTGGGCGGAGAGGATAAACAGGAACACCTGGTCTCCGTCACTTCGGACCCCGTGGCTGAACAGCGTCTCGTGGTCTTGAGCCAACCGCTTCCCGATCACCCACCGCTGCACAGAGGGGACGAACCCAAAGTCATGGCTGAACTGTGAACAAAAAATTAGACAGACAGATCATTCAACTTTGATTTGGGAGGTGTGTGGCGCAGTGGGCTAGAGGTTGGTGTTCGGATCAGGGGAGCACAGGTTCAAACCCCACTGCAGTCAGCATGTCATTGTGTCCCTGAGACACTTCACCCCAAATTGCTCCTGTGGGGATTGTCCACAGTAAGTCGCTTTGGATGAAAGTGTCTAACATGTAATGTAATGTAATTTCAACATTTGCTACAGACAGCAACAAACCAATCTGTAGCATTAATTACATTTCATGCTTTGAAGAATTGCAATAAAAAATATAAAGCTTCAAACACAGTAACAGAGGCAATACAGAACAGAATACAAAGAAAACAGCTAAACAAGTGATAACATTTCAGATTCAACAAAGGATGGGCTCTTTATATTACTGATTTCTCAGGTTTGTACTATAGATGATAGAGTGATAAAAGAAGAAAACTGCAAGTGTTTGCCGTTACATCCGTACCTTGTCTTTAAGTTGTGCAATTGTCATGTCAGATGAAACCAGAACAGTCACTTGGATGTAGTTATCTGACTGAGCGTCCTCCACTCCAACCTTCAACCTATTGAAACAATAGAACAGCCTTGTCCGTCTATTTTTATATTTACACTTGCATCCAACCTCAACTTGTTTTCAGACTGTAGTAACCACACCCAGAAATATGCAGCACTTGCATGCACACACTTTTCTTGTTGGCACATTTTACTTTTATTTTCGTATTCCTTATAAAATACAATCCCAATTCAAAACAGCCAGCGCTCTAAAAATTAAAACTTGTTTTGGAAACATTTGAACAGAATAAGGAAGTCCCACTCAGACACACGCATACACACAGTAGTGTCCCACCTTATGGAGCCCTGAGGGTAGGCCTGAGTGTTGACACTGACAGATACTGGAACAGAGAGTTGTGACAGTTTTTCACACAGTTTTCCTGCTTCCTGTCCGTCTCCACGGCTGAGGGCTTCACTTAGAGAGAGGGCCAGTTCCTCGGCTGCACAGGAAGCAAAGGAAGAGTTCTTAACCTCATGTGGGAAAACATAAATCACTTTCATATACCTGTCTCATTACATTTCTTTTGACCTTTAATGTCTAATTGTATTTAAATGCAGATTTATAATGTGTTTCTTTTGCCCTATTTCTTTTATGTCTATTCTTTTTTTTTAAAGGCATTACATTTGTTGAAGTGTGCTATACATTGGCCTTGCTTTAGATAGGGCTCCTACCAACTCCTGTGTTTATCTGTCACTTACTGTATACATTACATTTGACTGTACTTTAATCAGAGAGACGAAGAGACGTGTACAGTAGCCTATGGCTAATCAAAACAATGACAATGACATTTTGACTATCCTTTAAAACACTCCTGAAATAATTCGCACAGTAAGATACACACATTATTTTAACTGGGACATGCGGTTATTTAAATGTCATTAGCAGCAGTATCATGTGATCTAATAGGTTAGATATAACAAAATCGAAACCACGTTGAGCCACTAACCCTCTTTCAAATGCCCTCTCGGTGAAACTGGAGAGGCCATGATCACACCATAGACTGTAAAGGATCACACCTGAAACGACAGGTGACACAACATGTATCGCACAAACATGGCAGTAAAGACAAAACAGAGCTGTGTACAACACAAGTTTAAATCCAACCTTCTCGGGACGTGTCGCTGCAGTCCTGTCCGCATTCAACACACACTTCCTATAGTCTACTTCAATGTAGGAAAATCCGTTTATGAGTAAAATGGGAAGTTAAACCACAGCGAAGTGAAGGCTATACTACTTGTTTTCTTCTTCTGTCGCTCTGCCTAGCTCTCAATAGGTAGAATGGAAAGTGAAACTCATTCAGTTCAGGAAGAAACATTTTAAAAGGTTCGCTCAAATCGCTGTGCTCCGCCCCTCGATTTACTAGAAAGCTTTTAGTTTATCTATGCATTTTGTACACTTACAAAAAGATTTATAATATAAATGTTGTAAAAATGTAACGAACATTTCCTTTAACTATCTGAATGTTGTCTTTAGTTAACGCCCCCCCCACACTTATGGCTATACTTTTTACATTGGGCTACCCTGGTCAGCTATGCCTCCAGCTCAAGTATCAAGTCACGACTAAAATATTACCATAATATAAATAACCATGCATGCAATGAAAGGTTCTGGATTATAATCATAATATATTTTTAGAGTTCAAAACAATGACTCTCAACGTCCAGCAGATGGCAGTGTCCGGATTATCTATTGGAATTGTACTGTTCGACATCAATGCGTCAATATTACTCAACGTTAAACTCTCGAATAACTTGAACTCTGAACTATAAAACACACGACATTAGAAAATACATTACATTTTAATTAGTGTCAATAACTCTTACAGTATTACATCATCTCACATTAATATCTGGATATGTTTAGAATTCAAATGTAAGGATTACTAGTTTTGTTTATGCTTTGACTACAGAAAGAATGACCAGAGGCTGGAAAAGGGTATGTGGTGAAGTTACGCTCCTCGGATCCAGATCATGATCCAGATGCACGCGCATAAAAAGCAGCCAATCACAGAGCTTGGAGCAGGAAGGGCTGGCAGCTCTGCTCGGCAGCACAACACAAAGTTGCAGAGCATCTCTGAGTCTCCTCCTGCTTTGCCTTCACTTGCTTTCTGTCGCACCTGTAGCCTGCCTCTCCTCCAGACTACTAGCGTTACTTTACTCTTACCTTTACCCCGTCAACCATTACAGCGGTCCCCCTGACCAAGGTGTGTCTCGACGCTTTTCAAAGATGCTGGCCTGTACGGAGATGATCACTATGTGCCTGCAGTCCGCCAAACAGAAGCACCTCCGGGCTCAGCAGCAGCAGCCGCTGCACAGCGCCGGCCAAGGACTTACTATCTTTCATGATGTGAGTGCATATTCTACTACTCTATACACCGTGAAAAGTAGCGTTGGTTCATCAAATTATTACAGCTATTGGCAATCCATGTTATTATTCATCTAATGTTAAACTGTTAAAGTCAATAGATACATTCAAACTGTATACAATCAATCAGTGTAGTGCTGAACCCTAATTGTGTGTGTGTGTGTGTGTGTGTGTGTGTGTGTGTGTGTGTGTGTGTGTGTGTGTGTGTGTGTGTGTGTGTGTGTGTGTGTGTGTGTGTGTGTGTGTGTGTGTGAGAGAGAGAAGCAGCTGCTGCCTCTGCATGTTGATTTAAGCTCTCACAGTCAGAGGTTTAGGGACAGCCGGGGGTTCTCTTATTTTTGTAACACACACACACACACACACACACACACACACACACACACACACACACACACACACACACACACACACACACACACTGTACATAAACCTCTAGTTATTCAAAAACATTATATGACAAAATATACCACACAACGGCACAGACAATCTGTTTATACTTAAACAAATATACATATAAGTGAAAACATTTCACACACATTCCAAGACATAAACACCATTAATAACTATGCTCTTTATTTAAACCAATAACACCCACCACTGGGTAGACCTGCAGCACTGCAGCAGAAACTATCCATCAACACAGTTATTATCTATCCATCACAGTCTGTCATGTTCTGGGTTAGTAGGCCAATGGTGTGTCCAAATCTGAACTAACTGTATCTTTCTGTCAATAGTGTGCTGTATCTGTCATTAATGCAGCACACAGACTCTGGCAGCCTTGGTTAAATAAGGACCCATGGCAGTTTATTCACTGTATCTGTGCAAACTGTCCCTGAATGGGTTGCAGAACAAGAGTGCTTTCACACGTAGTCTTTAACTTTGACTTTGTTCTTCTGATGAAAGAGCACAACAGTAACAGGCACACTCCGTGATGGTTTCTGGTTCAAAAACAAGATTAGAAATACTACATATTTTAAATCATGGCTGACATTCTGTCTTGGCTTTGATAGCTATGTTTGTTTATTGTCTTTATTCACCTTATTTTTCTGTATTTCTGATTTTGTTTGGTGAAGGAGGAATACTGTTGATTTGAGCTTTTTCCTGTCTGTTGGCTCTCCAATTATTCCAGATTTTGAATTGATAAAATGGCTTTTATTTGGTACACGTCAGTCTCCACAAAGTCAAGTAGGCTCAATTAAGTCATCTCGTCAGCTAATGAGCCTTTAAAAAAGCATAAATATGTTTTGTGCCAGGAGTAAAAGTCGTTAAGCAGATAAATGGTGATTGTTTCCTAGATAATGTCGATGGATGACCTTTATCATTGAAGTAACACAAATTGGTTTTCAGTAGTTTAGATCAGAACAAACGATTACTAATTAGATGCGGATAGTTATTCATGTGAAAAGTTTTGTTTTATTATCTGTAATACTAAAACCAATTTAGGTTTTTATAGCATTGTGCCCGGTTGTATGCAACAGAGAGATCAATGCGTCAATAGTGGGCCAATGCTGTTATGCTAGAGATTCAGAGATTTACCATATTTGTATAAGATTTCTGGAGTGAGAGACAAAGCAATTCCTCCAAAATGTAATCTTGTTCAAAGACCAGGGACTATAGGCTGATAGTGGATGTTGAAAGTGGTTTTATCATCCATATTGTTGCCGCTTCCTTATGTCTTTGTTTTTCTCTACTACCAGCACTCTCTCTCTGATTTTCTCTCTTTTGCATCGCTGTCCTCCATCTCCTCATGTTCTCCCTCTACTCTTGCTCTACCAACTAAAAAACATAGCATGTCAAGGAACAGAAAGATATTTATATATATACAGCTCGGGGAATCACTAAGAATCCCCAAGGCAAAAAGGCGAGAGGAGAATATGTCACATAGAACATACTCAATAAAATATGATGAAGACCTCTAGTTTCCTCATTTCCAAAGCCCCGCACAAAACAATTGTGTCAGCAGAGCCTGAGAGAACTCTCTGTCTTTACACCTGCCACCAAGGCATCAGAACTACAGCACTCTGGGAAACAGGGCTGACATTTTCTGGGTTTGCTGTAAATGAAGCATCATGGACGGTCTATTGTCACCAGAGACCAAAATCCCATCATAACAACAAAACAAGCTAACAGTACTGTAACCGTTTTCCATTGAATCAAGCAGGAGGGGGGAAATGTGGCTTAGATGCAGTACAATGCAGAGGGGTAAAAGAAAAGACTGCTGACTGCAGTGGGAACATTGGATTCAATGTTCAGTACAGACTGAGCTAAAGCAAGAATGTCTTATAACCAGCAGGATTGTACATGTCAAGAACAAGGAGGGTTGGTGGGTCAGAATGTCCTGCCATCATGTTATTAATATAACTATTTCACTTGATCAAATAACACAGAAAATGTGCAGCTTTACAGCCTTCAAGTCTAGACAGATGAATCCAAAAACAGAACAATGAGTGTGTGGTAAGGTGGTTCCAAACGTCGTGGCTCTTCTTATTAGTCAGGACTGAAGCTGTGGAGAGACAGACGTTGACAGACAGAGGGCAGACCCACAGACCTTGAGCTTGTTGACCTATGGAAATTGAAATTGAAGGGCAGGTTCTGCTGTTATTAATACCCCAAAGGTCAAAGCTGACAAGCATGCCAGTGACCGCTACCTGACAATGGAAACAACAAACTGATGGAGTGGAGAGGGATTGAGATAGTAGGACCCCATTTTTTATTTTAATTGGCTTCTTGCAACATCTATGTTGGGGTTCTGTTTGATAACTGTTCTGATTATGGAAATTCATTTGTAAACCAATTATAGAGCCAACATGTGTATTTGAATTGCATAAATTAACATGTGTCACTGTCTTATTAAACTGCTGATTTAAGAAAAACCTTTGCTTTGCTTTGCTAATTAAAAACATGACATCAACATTGTATTCATAACTTAATGTAGTGGTTTAAAATGCTACTTTCAGATGATGTTTCCTCCATGCCAACTTAGTTTCTTGTAATTGAAATCTTCCTCTTGGCGCACAGTAGACTGTTGTTTATTATCAAAGCTTCGGCTAGCTATAACATTTTATTTAGCAGCTTTATTGTTGCTATGGGTCACAGGGACTCGAGTTTACAGAGATGTATATTGGAGCAGGATTTCCCTAGGTAAGTCCAATTATCAAGCCAACTTATTGGACATAAAAACAAAGCAGATCATCATAACTGTCACCCAAACAGTCAATTGGAAGCATCTATTTGATTTGAAGAGCTACTTCAAAATGGATGATCACAAAAGGCATTGTGGGCGCACTAACCTTCAATTCATTCTAGATAAGTGCTTTAGTGATGATGGTTACACTGGGGACTTATTTAAAACCTGTCTCTCATCTTTTTGTGCAGTTGCCCAATCCGCGTTCCTCAAATCCTGCCTAAAATCATGTTGAGTGTTGATGTTCCAACTGGAATTGGAAACTACAATTTTCCATTGTTGACCAAGAGGGATCCGTTTTTCAAGGCTGTCGCAGCGGACTACTTAATAAGTTTGAACAGTACGTGCCATATAAAAAGAGCTTCGTGAGGCTCATAAGAGGTGTTTTATGTTTATTGCAAATTAAACTTAGTTTTTGAGTTGGTCGTTTTATGTTAAGTCTGCATTTATCCCTTCATCTCCTTCATTCCTTCAGAAACATCATCACATAGTTATAGACTTTAATGTTGCAGCCTACATCTTGGGGTACAAAGTAACCAGATTGTAGGTATCATTACAAGTTCAACCAATAGTTCACGGATAAGCCTCAATCGCATCAATACAGTTCAAAAAGCCTTGTTCACCTTTAGCAGACATTTATTATTAATAATAATAATAATAATACATGGGATTTGTATAGTGCTATTCCTAATGCTCACATACGCTTTACATACAATCAGAACAGAAACAAATCGAA